ATGCTCCCCCAGGCTAAACCTGCAGCCTGAGACGCAGCCGGCCGCAATTCCTTCCGCCGGAGGACATCCTTGTTCTTGCCGTGCTTCTTGTGCCCGTCCGACTTGCGCAGAGTGGTAGGCATCGTCTTCCGTTTCTCGGGGCTCGAGTTGCGAGACTGGTTTTTGCCGGATGAATGCGATGGAACACGTAATGCTGGTAAGCTAGTCGCAGACGCAACGCTGCTGTCCTGGATGACTGACTCTGAGCTCGCCTGCGTCGCCGGCGGTGGACGTCCTGGGATCGGCGGCGGTCGAGATAAGTCCGTATAATCCACCGGAGGTACCGTCCCGTCTCCGATCCAACCGGATATGTTCGAAGTAGGTGTCTTGGAGGCCGATTTGCCTTTGAAGAATCGGTGGCTGACACCGCTCGTGGCGGGACTGTCCTTCTCCTGTGCTTCCTTCCTGCTTTCACGAAGAGCTTCCAAGAGATCGACTCGCTCTCGGCACTGGAGTTCTAGCTGGCGGATCGAATCTTGGAGCGCTTTTTCCGTTTCGTTCTTGGGTGTATAAGTTGACGACAGTCGGTAGGCGTTGTGATAAGAGATTGTGTCTAGAGCAGAGCGCCAGGCTCTCAAAGCTTCATCTTCATTGTTCTAGGATATCAGAGCGAATTAGTATTCAGACAAAAGGAAAATATCAATTGACTTAAAACGAATAAATCGGAGATGGGAATGGAGGGGACGACAAACCTTCCCCTCAAAGTATACAGCCGTGGAACACGAGAGATAGCACTCATCGTACGTCTTCTGCAGCGAAGACGCAGCAGGCTTGGAGCGCATCATTCACGCCGGCGGAAATGCAGGACCCGCCCGCACCAGCCATGCGATCGACCACAATTGGAGTGCGGAGGCGAAATTGTAGGGTTGTCTGGAACCGAGGGGGGCGATGTCGGGATGGTCCAGAGGCTGTACGGGTGGCGCGGTAGAGTAGGGACTGAATGGTCGAAGAATTGGTTGACAGGTGGAAAGGGAAGATAGAATCGATGGCCAGTGAGTCTGGGGAGGAACAGACGAACAGGCGAGTTGCTGGAAGTTGATGGGATTTGATTTTTCGTCTCGTTTCCATCAGAAAGCTCCTCGCGTGACGTCGTTGGTCCGCCGGATCGAGAAGACACTACCCCACGGTGATACGACGACTGTCATCGTAGTAATAATATCTTAGTTACTGGACAGATATCTGCTAGCTTCTTTAACTTCTTCTATTAATTTTATAGTAACTAGTCTTTGAGGTTAGGCCAATCGTTCCGTCTATTGAGTACATATTCAACCAGGTGCTGGGATCAATTGGGTCCCAAATCGTAACCGCAAGGAAAGCTTCCCTGCATGCCCAACGCCAGCACAATATAGGATACATCGGTCAAGCAGTAGAGCAGTCTAAATTAGGGACTCGCATTTCCGCCTTGGAAATTTCATCGAGGAGCCGCCTCAAGTATGTTCCCAATGAAGAAAGAAGCCCTTCTATATCAAACCCTCCTTAACACCCGTCCCACGAGAACTTATGCACACATTATCTGAACGGATAAACGTAATCGGAGAAATGTATCCTCCACGAGGTGGTCCAAATATCGGGGGTGCCTAAGATCCAAAACCGTCTCGGCAGCGGGTGCGTCGAAGCGAAGCGGTAGATGAGGTGGGTAACCAGGCTCGGAGGAAGACGAAAAGACAAGTCATCAGAAGGAGGAATATGGAGGAAATATAGAAACACATCGCAAAGTAGTCTGTGGCCGGTTAGGGTAGAGTATTCCCAACCTGCGGGTTTGCTCTCTCCCTGTTCTTCCGGTATCCCTTCTCTTACGCAATATGCATTGAAATATAGCTTTTGATTTTTTTCATTTTTCAGTCCGAATCCCTATTAACTTTTCACGCTCGCCGAACGGGATCGATTGAAGTCGGAGGAATGTTAGGTGTAGTTGAATCTATGTGACAGGGCCGTTACGGGCAGGATGTCGAAAGTCTCACTCCTGGCGTTTGAAGTAGGCCTTGGCCATCTCGTACGATGTCCTGTATGCCAATGTCAGTTCTGAAGCCCTGCTCATGCGCGGATAACAACGTACCAGCAAATCGCCGTGCTGGGCATCGTGGAGATAATGCGGGGACGGGCGCCACGTAGGAAGCCTCTCCAGCCAAACTGGCGCTTGATGATGGCCGCCGCATTGAAAAGGCCCTTTGCTGATCGAATCTCCTCATTCTGCGCCAACCCACGTGTCTGAAGAAGCGTCTTCACGACGTCCAAAGGAGTAGTAAGACCTGCTGCGAAGGCACCAGCGAGACCACCAGCTATGCAGTGGGTGAAGGGGTCATATTCCTGGGACGGGTTCATCACTTTCGAGATCGACTCGTACGCCACGAATTGAGTAGCCGTGAAGGGCACCGTCATGCAGAGTGTAGTGGGGTATGATACGTAGAATGCATGCAGACCCTCAGTGCGGTAAACGGACGTGGCGCATTGTAAAAGGCTCTTATGTATAGAGCCATGTACTTGCATCCGTTGCTTGATGACTATTTCCGAGCGTTAGAGGAGTCAAATGGGTCAGTGCATCGAAGACGACTTACCATCGAATGGATTCATCAATGCATCGCTGGCAATGGTCGCCGCTGCTCCACTAGCGGCTTGGAAATATTAGTACCATTCCTGCATCGACAGAATCATGATTGAGAGTACTTACCGGCAGCAAGCGGATGGTGGCCCTCGTCGACATTTCCACCAGCCATTTCCTTGACAACCTCATAAGTACCGAAGTACACGGCATGCGCCGGACCTGCCGAACCACGATTGTAAGCCTTTCCTCATCCCCCAAATATGTCAGTGATATGCGCATCCTTACCAGCACCGACAATCACACTCGAGACTCCCTTCCATAACGTCCGCCACCCCTCGATCCGATAAATTGTGGAGACCGCATTGGTCAAGCCTGTATAAAGGCCTCCGGTTGTAGGATGTATAACTTGCATGCGCGTCTGTCCGTAGCCAACCCGATCTTAGTTACGCGTCCAGAAAGTGATGCGAGAGAATATTGTCTTCAAACCCAACATACCTTCAATAAGTCTACCGGGTACATGACAGCGTGTTCCTTTCCTTCCAGTCAGTATCGCCTCGGAGAAATCGCAGAAGTCCCAATTTTCAACGGCGACATACCATTATCCCTGCAAAGGCACCAGCCAACATGTTCCGGCCTAGGCCATAGTTGGAGGGAAGGGCTTCGTAGCTGTCGTCAAATAGAGGTTAGCAGTGCGTAGTTGGAACAGGCAGTGCGATTGGAGGTGAGGAAGTCGACTCGCGAGAAGTAAGAGAATGCCTTCTTCTCGCGATACCAACAATGTTGCAGATATGGAGTGGTGGAATCCGTGCTGAATATAGCAACGTACTCATATTCCTGCCCTGGGATCTGCTCGGGGATCGCCATTGAGCTCTAATAGCTCCGGACGCAGCCGGAGCCGCACGAATTGGAAGAGGTTGAGAGGAGGAGAGGAGAGGCCAGGAAGACGGATGCCTCAAGCTTGTCCGAAGGTTCTTTTCAATATCCCGATGAAAGCGGACTTTGTCAGTAGCGACGATTCTCGGTCGGATTGAGCCTGCGGCGAAGAGGAACTAGTTGGGCGCAAGAGAGTCGGCGACGATAGGAGAAACAGATATGAATCTCAAGTAGAATTCAATCAAAGAGCAATAAGTGCCGAATCCCAATGCGTGAGGCAAAGGAGAAGGCTAGATGTAAGTAGGACCAGATCGATCGGGAGGTTGACAATGTTGCTGGAAAATCCAGGCTGGGGAAATTATTGTTCTTTTTCGTTTGCTGCGCTAAAGTCGAATGCCGCGGAGCTAAAGTCCCTACGGAGTTACTTCTACCGGTGGATTGAACACAAGACAACTTGGACCAAATCAATCGAGCGACGAGACGTTACCGACTTGCTTAAGGTTGAAGAGGGTGAGACGAAATGTCTGACATTCTACTCTAGATCTAGCACACATAGCTCCGACACGATATACTACTGTCGCCAGGCGCACCATCGTGATTAGTTGCTAATAATGAGGTCGTGGCTCCGCTGCTTAATCATCCATCAAGCCCAGAACTTCAGCGAGGTTCCGATGACGGACTTTTTCTTCAATATCGAGAGGTAGATACTCAAACAAACCTCGAATATCCTATCCGAGAAGCACAGCAAACATGGCAACAGCAGAAGCTGGATCTTTCCATGCAGTCAGCGTGTGTTTCTCTCCCAGAAAGCCCTGTCAACTTCCGCTTCTCCAGCATCTCATAAACTTGTCCGGTCGCCACCCCGAGCGAGATATCTTATCAATATAGGCAGCACTGGACCCTCCGAGTCCCGGAGGAAACCGAATAACCAATGTTTAATGTTACCAAATATTAATACCAAGCCCTTGGTTAGCTTCAGGCCCTTATCTGATCCCATTAATCAGATTTTGAACCTTCAGTCAAGTGATCAGTAACCATGATAACGTTACCTAGCTAGCCTTCAAGGAGCCATTCCTCTTGTTTGTAAAATATCAGCACTAGCTAGAACCAACCCTTTTAGAATGGGTTTTGTCGAGATTTATGAGACCAGGAGGAGCATGCAATCTACAAACCATTGCTCGTAATTGCTATACCCTTCTACTTCCCTAGTATGTAGTGACTCTGTCTTGATGCATTCAGGGGCCATAGTTTTTAGACTCTTCCCTCCCTACCCATTGTCCAACTGATCACATGAAGAGAAATGAAAACAATGCATTGCTAACTGATACAATAAAAAAGTGAGTCACCGCCTCGCTAACTCCAGTAAAGACAGTCACACCGGGTGTAAACAGGTAAATGTAATGATCTTGTATGAATCAGAAATAGAAATCATATGCGCTGTCATCATTCACGTCATGAAAATCCCATTCGCATCTGGCCGGTTTGCCAGCTTTTGACTGAAATATCAACATCTGGAACGGCCGGGTGTCTGTCGGCTCTATATAGTCTACCATTCAACATTGAATGACCATACCCCTGCAGAGATACACATGTCAGCATCATATCATGTATCAAACATTGTGTAATGAATGAGAGCTTACCTTGTTTCAATTTCTGGGCAGTGTCGCTAAGAAGGATCACTCGGCGTTTGTTGCAATAAGCCGTTTTGTCCAAGATATCAACTTTCAGATTGGCCAGTTCAGGCACCGGCTTCTCGAACATTTCACTAAGGCTCTCCACCGCAAGCTCTAGATCTTTCTGGTTGTCCTCGAAGATTTCCGTCAGGTTGTTTCGAGCAAGATAATATGCAAAGGCATAAGTCCACTTCAAAGTCTGTCGGCACTGCTGAAGTGCCTGAGATGCAGTATCAAGGAACTGAACTTCAATCTATGATAGACCAGACTGAGATTGTAGGCTTGTCATCTTCTTTTCTGTCTTGAGGTAGAGATCTTTATCGAGCTTCGCCGACTGCTCGTGGTTAGCGTATCTGTTGTAGTAATGCAAGTATCTTTCAAGAGATGCTCGAGATTTCGCCTGCGCTGAACGAGCTTCCGACCCTGACTTCTCTTCGTAGCGATTACAGTTGTACCAGCTGGTGCCGTGTTCAGACCACAGGCCCATGCACATCCAGCAGAACTCGTGCTTGCATTTGCGGCACGTCATATGGTTGCAACCCCCGTTCTTCTCGATCGTTGAATGGCACTTAGGACACTCCTTCGTGTTGGCCGAGATCCAGTTGGCGGTCTCTGAGTCGTCTTCACACTTCTGAAGCCACATCTTGACCAATGTGCAGGGAGACGGTAAATGATCGTTCAGCGTGCAGCCGAAGCAAAAGAAATGCTTACAGGCACATTGTACGGTGGGCACGATCCGGTTGAGGTCGCGCTGCTTGACGGGACAGTCGACCGCGTACTCGCAGTTTGGGGCCGGGCACCACTTAAGGTTCTCTTTGTCATCAACATAAGTTCGCATCAACAGTGTTTGGTATCTGCAAGGCCACGTCAATAATGGATTCCGACATGGCGATCCTTGGGCTGAAGACTTACCTCTCTTTGAGATCGTCGGTGACGAGGAGACTGAGGGACTTTGAATCTACGATCATATGGCAGCCATCTCCGGGACATTCTATCCTCGCAGCTTCGCCCTCCTCGCGGATTTTCTGCGCGAGATAATGTCGGTAGCAGTCAACGCAGAAGCGATGTCCGCATCGCATAGCATATGTCTCCAAATCATCGCCATCTTCACAGCAAATGTCACACATGAACCCTGGTACAACCTCTGTCTTTGGTGTCCCATAAAAGTTCGTCCCAAGACCAGCTTCCTCGAGAGTCTCCTCCGGATGATCCATGTAGGACTCTATGAGCTTCTCCCGGTTCCATCTCCCAAACCGTAATAGAATAGCGGACGACTCCGGTGGCAGGCCCAAAATCTGCGAGACCTCGTTGACCTGCTGACTCTGCTCCCGATCGATATCTTCTGGGCTCAGAACTCTGAAATCGACCTCATATGGCTTCTTTGTGTTCCCTAGTAGATCCTTATCCTGAGAAAATCCGCCGTCGAACTCGTCACCGAACTCTAGTAACCGAAGAACGACCGCGTCAGTAAAGCACGAAATGGAAGATGGCTGAAACATACCTTCTCCTAGACTCTCATCATCACTTCCCTGTGTGTCCAAGAAGTCGTCGGCACTGGACGCATCCGTCATAAAATCATCGTCTGAATCCATACTGGTGGAAGCCGGCGTGACGAGATCGGTTGTCTTTTGCTTGTTTTGAACGGGGACGCTTGCAGACGCCACCGATACCGAATCTGTGTCAGGATCTTGGTCCGTGAGCTTGTCCTTTCTGCGATTATTCCTCTTGTTTGACGAGGTTTTCCCGGTGGCGGTTCGCGAATCAGCGACGGAAACCTCGGTGGCGGTTATGGATGGTTCCTGGTCTGTAATCGCCGCCTCGGCCGCCTTCCTTTTTCTCGTTAGAGGAGGCGTGGTGAAGAGCTATTCCTGTGGCAAGCGATATGTGCTGACTAGAAAAAAAGTAGGCCTCGACGTTGTACCTCGAGGCCTTCTTCTTTTCCGGGACAACACAAGTCGCAGCTTACCAACAAAAAGTGGATAACTATTTTCAGTTCAGGGAACTGAAGATGGTGTCGACGGCGATGGAAGGATAAACGGAACTATGCAGCACTAGCACCAAACGGGGTCGTTGCGTCGCTTATCGAGTTCAGCGTCAAGGGAGAGAGCGAGGGGTGACTTGTGATTAGTTATCACGTATGATCGCTGGACGTCACGGGAGTGGGGCGTCTAAAACGTTTAGAAGCAAGCGTGCACTGTTACCCAAGACATCAATCACTAATTGTTTCAACTGACCGATAGTGTCAAGGGGAAGCCTGCAGAGGTATGTGGAGTAGTATGAGTGAGTTGAAAGGGTTGGAAACAAGTGAGATTCTTGGGGATGGCTTAGAGGCTTAGAGTGATATGTACCATCCGACAGATCAGCAAGCCTCCCAGTCATAAGGGAGGAAATCTTGTTCGGATGACTCCGCTGGCAATCGCGGAAAGACCACCCACTGTGGGGAGAAATCAGAAGTACGCCTCAATGGGCTCAACAATTAACTAGCCTACCGTTTGATATCCTTCGACGTTCTCCTCTGCTTTGATTGGATCCTCTGGGGCTCTTTGGGTATTCTCAGTATATCTTGCAGCGCCTGCTTTGATATCGATGCCCTGCTGACTGGGTCCACGGGCAATGGGAGAAGCAATGATGTCAGTGCATCCCTAAAAATGCTCGATACAGACAGCTTCAAGAATGGGTTAGAACTAATGAGAGATAAAAGTTTATGAGTCACTGCATGAAGAGAGTGACTGCTAGAGATTATCAATGCAAAAATAAATATATGTTGCAGGTTCTTCGACGCCGGCTAAATAATTGGTACTTAAATAGACACCTTGGAGCCATTTTCAGGCTACTAGTCTTAGGCAGCCAGGCAACGATGCTCAATTCGGAAATCGATTCTGTCCGTAGATAGAAGATTGACACACAACAACGCATCGGATCTTGATCATGAAATTATATATGGCCCGTCAATGGATATCATAACTTGCTCGTCTATGGTGATACTGCCTGATAACGCAAAACTCGTTCCTGCTTGCCCCCTCTTTTCCAAGGGCATCGCTGCGTAATGCCTGACTTCGGCTTTACTCCTCATCGCTCTCTTCCTCGCTCTCATCCTCTTCACTACTCTCCTCTTCCTCAGCATTTGCGAGCCAGTCAACAAACTGTTGAGTTTGACTCCGCACCTGCCTCATCTCTTCGCTGGCACTGGACCGCTCATCGGCCCACCATTGCTCATAGGCTTCCTCCTCGAAGAGCTCCAAATCGTACAGCTCCTTAGCAGCGAACAGTAGGACTGTCTCGCCGCGAGGCCGATGTACAAGATCCTGTTGGAGCAGGACTAAGAAGTCGATCTGATCGGTTTTCTCGTCGCTGTCTCGATCGAACATACACCGTTCGACAACCTCGCGATATGTGCCGAAAATGTCACGAACGGCTTCCCCAGCACCTTTTCCTCCTTCGATCAGTTGCTGGGTTCGTTTCATGAAGGCTGTGACAACAGCTCGTCGGACCTGGTGGTCGGAGGCATTCGCAGTCATCCGCAAACTGACCAACTCCAACTGCACAACGTCAGATGTGACACCGTCTTTCAAGCTGTCATAGACACTGGCTGCAGCGTCATGGACGAAATGGTCAGCATCCTCGTCTTCAGAGTACGAAGTACCAAAGCTCTCGGATCGAGATCCGCCGAAATGGGAAATCTCAGAGGACAGGGTAGAGATAGACTCCGTAGAAAGAGAGAGCTGCGCCATGTTGTACACTGTAGAGATATTAGTACTCGACACTCATTCAAAAGTGGCGATGAGGATGAGCCTGAGAAGTATAAGGGAAGGTGCGTACCCAGTCCTGACGAAGCATTGGATACAGTGTCGTCTTCGTCCTCGTCTTCCTCGTGGAAATATTCGTGACCTTCGCCTCCTTCACCGACCACATCCGGATCATTCGCTGGTAGTCCCCCGTCTTCCTCTCTCGAGGCCTTTGTGATCCTTCTTCCTTCGCTCACAGTCACACCATCAGCGATTTTGACTTCATATGAGAGAAGAGCGCCAGGCTCAACGCTGCAATTATTGCCGACCACAACCTTATCGGCAATAATAGCCTGCCGAACCGTTGTGCCGTCGCCAATCACCACACCATCCCAAATATAGGCGCCGTCCAGTGTAACATTTTTCCCAATCTTGCAGTCCCTTCCAAGAACTGTGTTCTTGACTGTCGTCTTGTCACCAATGCTTGTGCCTTTCCCGATAACAGTTCGCCGCCCAACGACACATGAACGCGCCAAAGTAACGCCCTGTTCTGCGTACAGATTGCCCTTGCGGAGATCGTAGGTATGTCCGGGGAGCAAGTTTGTGTCTGGGCACAGTGGATACGTCCATCTGGAGATAATATCCTTGCTCACTGCGTCATATGCTTTCAGATTCCTCACTCGAGCTGCGTAGTGATCCTTGATGATATGCGTGTGGATGGTTTTGCCGTTAAGCTCATAATCTTTGAGCACACCGAACAAAAAATGCTTTCGCGGAGACTGATAATCGAAACTATCGGACCACAAACTCAGCACGTCAGGCGTACAAATATCAATGTTGCAGTCAATCAGATCTTGTCGAATATCGATCTCCGCATGAGATGAAATAAGCTCGGTGTCGATAGTCAGGCGAGATGACTCGTCGGAATGATGCTCAATTTCCTCGTAGTGCAGACAACGATCTTTGGTGGGATCAAGGACGAATACAGGGGACACGGAGGACGACTTTGTGCGATGGTTTCGACCAGCCTCGCGCAAGATCATAGTCATGATTGCGTTCTTGTCTGCTTGGCGGCGGGCACGGTGAGTCGCCAGTGCACCCTCAATAGGCAGGTTACTGATCACGTCACCGCTGACAACAATGAAATCGCCAGTGATGAGGTGTTTGCCATCAAGATCGCGCATAACATCTCCAACTGAGGTCGACGTTGACTTGAGGAAAGTCAATTGCTTGAAAGGCGACGAGTTGCTTCTCCATTTCGATGCACTTCAGCAGATTCCGACGGTCAGCCAACATCCTTTAAGCAAAGCCGATATCAACGTACTTGATGTATCTCTCTAATTGATCTGAATGAGCCCCTCCGTAAAGAAAAACCTCCTCAACGCCGGCATTAGCCAAAAACTCGAAAGTGTACTCAATCAACGGCGTATTCGCAAGCGGCAAGAGGCACTATTGTACTACACGTCAGCTACCGAAAAAAGATCCCTCTGGTAAGGCAAGTTTCCGAATCGCATCATCCTTCACGAGATGGTTCAATGACGGACAACATACACGGGGCTTCTCAAGGGTAAAGGGCTCGAATCTGGTTTCGAAAGTATCGGCAAGAACCTAGAGAGCACCGAAGCACACAATCAGCCATCGTCGTCCCATCATCTAGCGAACGGCAGTGCCAGCGCGCCGGCTGCTCCGCATAAAATGAACATACCACGGCCTGCAAAGTCTCCTCAACCTCCTCAGTCGCATTGCCCCTCTGCTTCGCTTGACCACCGCCGCCTTTTTTGGGACCCATCTGGCAGAAGAAACGGTTAATGCCAGCTGCATGCAATCTGAAGCATTCCGCACTCACATTGATAATTTACCTTAATTTGCACCCCGCTTTCAGAATGAAGAAAATGCCGAATAGTCCAGGCTTTGAATCACCGAGACTAGAGCCAGTGTGCGAAGCAGCTAGTCGATATGCAGATCAAGTTAAAGGTTCCCAAGTTTCTCTGTCAGCGACGGCGCCCAGAGCTCACAAGTCCCGTCCAGCAAGCTTTCATCCACAAAAATTGTGCCAAGCCCGATGCGAGGAGTCATCCCATCCCACTTCCAGTCCGGGCGGTCAGGTACAATGTTTGTACTGTTTGTGTTCACGTGACTTCCCTTCTTGATCGCACAAGCCACATCTTCCTTGTGCTCCAGCCTCTAAAAGTCCAGAACTTCTTCAAAAAGGCCTGGGCCCTCCTGGACTCAAGGAGATTCCCCTGTCAAGGGGTCAGCGGTCTAGAACCATGTAAACTGATTTGCGTCAACGTGGAGAATGTAAGAGTTCAGTCCAGATAAGGTAGGGAAAAGAAGGTTGACGAACTCTCGATCTTTTGAAGCGGACGTAGCCGTCTTTACCGTTGAGTGTCGGAGATTTGGACTTAGCGGGAATCTCAACGACTGAGAGCACCATTACTTTTATATGAAATGACCAGGGTAAGAGCGTACTGAAATAATTTTAATATGTGTGTATCTTCTAATAAGCTGTTCCCAATGTAAATAACATGAAGAAGGAATGTTGCCAGACACACTCAATACCTGAGCAGAAGCTCTAGGATGATCATAGAGCATCACTGGCCAGAAAATCGCACCTCACCCTTCCATGCAAAACAAGAGTTTATAATAAAGAAAGACATCACAGAACCAAGTATCAACACATGAAGGTAAAAGTAATGCAACGACGATGGGAGAACGGCTGACGCTACACAGCGCCCCTCCTCTTCCACCTCCGTCAGAGCTCCGACAATGATTTGATGCATCGCTTGCAAAAGACCATTCCCACTCCCTTTCGTCGAATCAGTACGCAATTGTGAATGGATGCGCCTATTATAGTGTTTGCAATCAATGCAAAGGACCTAAATACCGCAAACGCCGTAGTCGCCAATTGACAAAGGACACAAGAAAAGCAGAAATACCGAGGTAATGATCGTCCATACAAGAGCAACTTTCACGATATATCGCGCAGAAAGCGGTGAAAAATCCGTTGTATGATTGAGGCAGAGGTGAGAGGAGCGGGGTTGAGATAAAGTTGGCATGGACCGAGAAGCGCTCTTTAAAAGTGACCGACTGTTCTCAGCTTAGCCAGTTCGGGTAGCCTGAGCCGGGTTGACCATCGGCTGTGGTGGTTGAGCGTACATGCGCGGTCGCTTCGCAAAATTTGAATTATCCGCAGCGCCAGACAGTTCGGATATCTGCCGTCGATGAGGCGGCCGCGCAGCCGCAGCAGCCGCAGTGAGTGCCACTGGAGGCGCCGGGTATTGCACTCCATTCTGGTCCACAGCGTAGGCGGCTGGGGCCGCGGTCGCAGGGACATATTGAGGTTGAACCTGTTGAAGGAGGCCTTGGAACTGGCCAGGAGACTGCCAATTATTCATTGACGTGGCCGGTGATTGGCCAGGGGAGCTGTCTTCCTTGACAGAGTGGGCTGCCGAAGTTTGAGCAGCCATCGTGACTGTTGCCGTGGGTTGCGAAGTCTCCATACCTTGCGGAATGGTCTTCAAATGAACCAAATGCTTCTCAAGCATGTCCAAGAGGCTCTTCCGCGTGAAAGGCTTCGGTAGCACATCGTCCATGCCTAGTGCGCGTTAGTAACAAAACGTCAGAGTCCTTGGGATTGAAGGACTATGTACCATGTTGGAAGTAGAGCTGAATATCATCGCTTCTAATGTTGGAGGTCATAGCGATGATAGGAGTTCGGTCAAATTGGCGAATAAGGTGACAGGCAGAAACCCCATCAAGATTGGGCATGATGATATCCATCAGAATCAGGTCATATTTCGATCCATCTTGAATCTTATTCACCGCTTCCAGTCCGTCAAACTGTAAGACTGTCAGTTGCTTTGCGTCCATATAGGAAGAGAGGAGAACCGACCGCTGTGTCAATAACACAAGAGAAAGAATAGAGAAATTTACCACCAATTTGGCGACATGTTGCATCATCTTCGACCAGTAGAATGTGTGGGCTGCGTACCCATCCAGGATCGACATTTGTGCTCTTCTTTCGATTGTCGGGAACTTGTCGGCGAGTGTCGTCCACTTCCTGTTTTGGAGGCATTGGATACGGCAAATTGTTCACATGCTCACTGTACATTGGATCAATTCCATTGGTAGCACCAACAGGGTAGACAACTGGCTCAATGTCGCTGTTCATCTTTGAATATAAGAGGTTGGTGGGATTTGCACCTGCCGCTGTAGGCGGGCGAACCACCCCATTCCGCGGCCCAGCCTCTAGTGTAGGGGTGGAAACAACAGGGGCGGATTTCGACGGTTCGCCCACCGACTCAATGCCAGCCAAATTGAATTGAACCTCGGCGTTCATGTTACTCAGTAGCTTCGACGCATGCTGCAAGGGAGAGGAAGGCACATCGTCTACCTGTCCCGCATTCACGTTTGCACCGCCTTGCCCTTGAGCTTGGAAGGCTGCTGCCGCTTTGTTATCGCGTCTTTGGCGAGCATCTACTGATAGCAAATAATTCATCACCTGGTGAATGACATTTTCATGGTTCAGAACCGTCTTCTGAACCCTCATCAGCTCCTGCAACATGAGCTGATGATCAACAGTCAACTGCGCGTATCGATCGGAAAGGTGCTGGATCTGCTGCTGCTGCGCTACGATCTGCTGGTTCAGAAGATCGATCTGTTGTGTCGGAACTGAGTCGTCGGTGTTCTGAGTCTGCTTTCGAGGCGCCGGCGCCTTTCGTCGGATATTATCAAGTKATTCTTTGCTGTTCGCTCTGAATTCCGGGTGTTTGAACTCCCATGCCTATCTGTTGTCAGAATTTGTTCCGTTTGAATCGAGCGACGAAGCCTTACGTTTTGTCCATAAGGCGATTGTCCATTTTCTTCGTTGTTTTGTCGGACCTTATGGAAGTCGTATTTATTCAACTGCCGCACAAAACTGGCAAAGTTGCTGTGTTTGAAGTGTTTCGGAAGGATGGTCTTGGTGAATTTCTCGCACTGCGATAAGGCAACACGGTCAGCTTGAGAGTTTCGACAGCGGACACCGACGGATTGACGGGAACAGGCGGAGGAAGCAACCGACCTCGAGAACCACGAAACTATCCCCTTCGTCTCCCCACCGAACGATTTCCGAGTACGAAGGGTCTTCCAACATTCTTGTGCAACAAATGAACCAGTTAGAGACATTCCACAAGGTATGCGATCCATCGTGGCGATTAACCGGTCGCAGTCGAGACAAAGGGAGGGGGACGACAAAGCCAAGGCAGAGCACTAGATTTTCCCCCGAGAGAATCGGAAAAGGAGAACTCACTTGTACAGTTTCCGCACCTGTAGTACATCTTGTTAGCCTCGGAACAGCAGAGATAATTATCATGCAGCTCAAATATCTCCTAAAAAGAAAATCTTCATCTTTCCAGGGTCAACACTTACAAAATCGCTGGAGTTACCAGCGGGGGCGGTGCTGGTCGTGGTCTGGCCACCCTCCATCGTGGGCTAGATGGGTCGCGACCGATCGAACAAGCAACAAGCTCACCAAGTCGCAGCTCTTTGAGAAGAACAGGCGGGAGATAGTGAAGATCGCGCTATAATGTGCGCCGAGACGCAGATAGGAAAAGGTGCCACTGGGGAATAATAGAGAAGTGAAAGAAGAAGAAATTGTTCAGGAAATTGGTAGAGGTCGAGGTAGTCGAATAGTAGGTAGTTTAGTAGTTGAAAAAGGTGGTGGTGTTAGCATTTAGCAGCAGCAGTAGTTTTAGGTAGGAATAAATTGATTAGTTGGTTCGTGGTGATAAGTGGGACGATTAGCTGAGTTGTTGGAGTTGAATAACTGTTCTTCCGCGGTTCGTGCACAAAGCGTTGCGGGAACCACTTTTCCACAGTCTTCCGTTCTAACTAGTAGACTAGGTAGTAAGTCCTGATTATTATTTTTACTTCTGATTAATAGGTAGAACGCAACATGACCGGTGAACTGTCCGTTTAGGCTTCCCTTTTCCCTAAAACTGATAAATGCAAGGAGAGACAGAAATGAGGGGATAAGAACGGAGAGGGCAAGAAATATCATACTACCTACCGGTCCTTGGGAATAACAGTGGGGACCCAAGAGGTATCTACTTGGTATTGAGGAAGGGGGGGGAGAAATGACAAAATCAGGTATGAAAAACCAAAAATCCACAGTGAAGGAAGAAACAGCGCACATGCTTATGCAAAGCGCATAACATTTTCCATTACCTACGATGCCTGTGAGTTGCTAACTTGATAAAGTTATTAGATATTGTGTGTCTTGCGCAGTATTATTATGAAACCCCAATGTGACTACCTCTCTACAATATGCAAGAATCGTGGAAGTTAGTAATGTCAGTGCGCATTTAGATGCGGACAGAAAGCAACAACAATGGAGGGGAAGACGTTATGACCCTGGCGTATTGATGAGGATAGGCGAATGATGATCGTGGAGGGGAAGCCTAATGCATTATGATCGTCCTACTCTTGGGTCCTGACACACTTCCACAATATGAGGAAACGGTCAATCAGATATTAGATAGTTTTGACCTTATTCAGTCATCAAAGGTATTGATTGCAACTTGCTGCGGATATTTTTCTTGCGGTCTACGAAAGTATGTAGGTGAAAGACCCCAGGAGTTATGTAGAGTCCCACAGGGTTATCATGAGGCAGGTGGATTAATACTCCAGTCAAACTGTCGAGGATTAGACACATAGCGGATATTCTACCCGCAACCAATATTCGTTCACCTTTAATGAGTAACGAATAGTTTTTGGAGATTGCTGGTTTCATGCAGATCCCTCGCGGAACGTGGATGGGGTGGGAACAACCGATATGGAGATAGCTTTGGGGGCAGGAGAGATGAAATGTCCAAGAACCCTTGGAATGTTCGCCTTTATTTTGTTTTAGGAGTACTCCTATGATTCTTACATATCCTCTGATGTCCCTTTGTTGTGGACAGCGTGGAAAATTTTACATACATATGACTGATGAGGTTCGGTCAGACCCGGGTTTCAGGGAGCTGTGCGCCACATCAGCAGATCACCATAATACTAAGATAGTTGGCGTTCCGGGGGAACAATTTGAAGAAGTAGATAGTGGGTATGGTCAGGGGTCTGAATCTCTTTCATTCAAAAGCTGCCACACTGACTGTTGTTGAAGATTCTGACTTAACTGAATGGAAAATACAAGCCAAGATGCCAGTTCTTCCTCAGCTGTCAACACTGAGCACTTCGTTACTAAGTACCCCTTGCACCAACCTCTCAGTTCAGAGTATCAATTATTACTGAGCGACATGGCAGACAGTTGACTTATCTGTCTGTACCCTAGATAGAAATTAGATCAGGTTATATGCCACAATGGAATGAATTGCGAACGTGGGCTCGTCTTGACTGTACATTAACCTAGACCCTGGAACCGCCGTAATCTCCTATGACTTGACTATACAGTAGTAGAAAAAGGCAAGCAGATGCACTGCAATATCTATGACAGTCATCGATTACATTTTGTATCGAATAAAGTGCTGATGGAGAATGTACATGGCTCCCCATGCTGCCATACCAGCAGAGAGAAGACGATGACGAAATACGTCCAGTAGTGAAGCGCCCCGGCCGTGCTCTCTAGCCCCAACGACGCGCCATGTACACAAACCTTCCTAAGCATCCATCACTTCATCCTTTACCTCGGGAACCATTATCTGTCAATTGAATTGGCATATTTTACATATTTCATAGCCGCTGCTAAGCACATTTTGAGCTCAACAGTTCGTCTTCTCATAAAGATGTTCGCTGCCCGTCGCCTCGTTACCAGCGCCCCTCGCGCCATGCCCCGGAGGGCGCTGTTTCACAGCACCGCACCAGCCTTCGTCCAAAAGGGTGACGCCATTCCAGATCTTGACGTGCTGGTCGAGAGTTCACCTGGAAACAAAGTCAATCTTGCGAAGGAGCTCAAGGGAAAGGGTATTATTATCGGTGTCCCTGCTGCTTTCAGTACGTTTGCGGCCCCCAGCCTTGAAGCCCTCCGCCTCATAAGCATCCAAACCGACGTGACATCAATGATAGAAAAAGACAATTGCTAACTGACTCGAATGAAAGGCCCCGCTTGCTCTAGCTCTCACGTGCCTGGATATATCAACCACCCCAAGCTCAAGGAAGCCGGCCAGGTCTTCGTGGTCTCGGTCAATGACCCCTTTGTGTAAGTCGCCGATGGTTGATCGTTAAGGAGCGTCCAAATGCTTGGGGTTTCAGTGACCGCAGCTTACCGAGTCATAATAGGATGAAGGCGTGGGGCGTTTCCCTTGATGCCACCGGCAAGAGTGGTGTAAGTCTTCTCCATGACACTGCGAATCTACAAATCAATGGACGCTAAAAAAGGAGAATAGATCCGCTTTCTGGGCGACCCGACCGGCAAGTTCTCGGAGACGCTCGACGTCACCTTCGACAGCAGCTCAATCTTTGGGAACCAGAGAAGCAAGCGCTATGCGCTTGTCGTTGAGGATGGGAAGGTTAAGGAGGCTTATATCGAGCCTGATAATACCGGTGTCAACGGTATGCATAGTTCCTACTATTTTCTTGGCTGCCGGAAAATCTACTAACACATGGAATGTAGTCTCGGCGGCAGAGAAGGTGTTGGGCTAAACGTAGGTATCAAAAATTCATACTGTGATTTGGGTTATCCTGTGGACGGTACGATGGTAATTCCCATCATGTAATCTATAGTCAGAGGCGATGTATCCCAGATATCCTCCTAGCGCCTGATTGTTCGATACCCAAATGCAATAAGGGCATCTGGAATATACAACCTTTCAATCGACTTAACTCGCCCCTAGTCCAAGCGACATAGTCATAATCTTGGTATATTGCCGATTCAAGCGCTTCCTTGCTGCAGGGCCTGCCATTGCTCGGGGGTGTAACACTTGGGTGTCCACGCGTGGATGGCAGCAATCTCCGACTTCAAGACCGAGTTCACCAACCGATGGCGCGCAAGCATGTTCTTCTTCTCAAACTGCGGAGAAACAATAATCGCCTGGAATGCCTGTCCGCAGCCACCTATGACAGGGAGAAAAAGAAGTTAGACACCCCTCAGTCAAGTATACCCATACTGCAGGTCAGCGTCGCAGACTTTACACACCAGACAAATCCTCAATCTCCACAACCTGCGCCTGAAGTTGTTCAACCAGTTTACTCTTCAGTAGCTCCGGCGTCACACTCGACGTTGCGTCCGCCATTGCTGCGTTGATAGCCGCAAAGGAGCGTGCAGTAACCGAAAAGGGCGAGTTTTGACGAATGGGGGTGCGGAGAAGGTACCGGCAGCTTCTGCTTAACAATGTGGTGGTGCGGGAGTACATCAAGCGTGGCTGTCAGGCTTTAAGTAATAGAGGGGTCAGCGAGGGTCTTCGTTTGACGCGCAAGCCAAGGCGTTGATGCGTAACTAATAGATTTAGCAAACAGCTCAGAAAACCGATAAGTGATACTGAAGTAGTCGATCAGATATTATCAATCCGCGGAAGATGAATGACGGAATCCGTAACTGATGGATTCAGCCGGGAATGTGTGACAGCGTAAATTACAGTATGTGGCTTGACTAGTCTGTATGCTGGGTTTATCTGATCACCTGCATGCTGTGGCTGGTGAAGTACCTATCGGTGTGGCGCAAGCTATCCCCTCTCTTATCGCTTGGGGTTTACCTTCTGCTATCATTTTCTTTCCAAGACATACATATGCTGTTGCGCAACATCACTTGTTGAATATTATTGCAATCTTTCATGAGTTCTCTCTCCCGAGTAGCACTGCGCCGACTTTCAACAATGTCGACCACCTCGTCACCTTTCACTCGGGCGGTTGTGAGCTCCATGAAGAAGCTGTATGCTTGCACCTTACTTTTATCCTACCATTACTGGCGTTTCTTCTCAATTGCTTTTTTGCTGACGCTGCTACAGCTATCCGGAGTCATTAGCAGACAAGAGCTTTGACAACACTGGCTGTGAGGATGCCTGTATTATGTCATAGTGTTCAAAGTGCTCATACAATTCTCACCTAGTGCTTCTTGAAGCTCCCTTCCATCCCGCTCGGCGGCAGAAGAATTCTGTGCTTCTGACCATTGACCTCACAAAGGCTGTGGCAGATGAAGCTATCAAGCGGAAGGATTCAGTGGTTGTGGCCTACCGTATGCATTGTACCAACATCGTCTACTGGCTACCAGCATATTTGCTAACCAATCTTTTTGCGACGAAGACCCCATCATCTTTCGGGGACTGAAGTCCCTCACTCTCAATGACACACAGCAACAGACACTGCTGCGGCTCGCCTCAGAGGGCATCAGCGTGTACTCGCCGCATACAGCTGTGGACGCTACCCCCGGTGGAATGGCAGACTGGCTTTGCGACGTCGTCACCGGCGCAATTGCTCCATCTACCGACGCGTCTCCCTCGCTCTCTGCGTCCTCCTCCCAGCACTACTCCCAGCCAACCTATCCCCAACCTCGGCCAGCATCTATATCTCCCTCCTCCGCAGCCCCCCACGTCCGAAGCACGATCCATCCATCTCCCACCCCAGTGCCTGAAGGTATGGAATCAGCTGGTATGGGCCGTCTCGTAACCTTCGAGAACTCCCAGCCTCTGACCACCATCGTCGACCGCATAGCACAAGGCGTCGGGCACCCGGGCGGTATCCCGATCGCGATCCCACAGACTGTCCCGGTCGATCTAATTAAGATCCGCACCATCGGTATCTGCCCGGGATCTGGATCTAGTATCCTTATGAGTTCCAGCAGCCTGCCAGATCTTCTGTTCACAGGCGAGTTGAGTCACCATGAAGCGCTGTCGGCCATTGAGCGTGGCTCAGTTGTCATTGCGCTCGCCCATTCTAATACAGAGAGGGGGTACTTGCATGCTGTCATGCGTCAGAAGCTAGCCGCTACCCTCAAGGAGGAATGGGATGCCCAGCGCGAAGAAGGGCTGAAGGCTTTGGAGGAGACTTTTAAGGAAGGAGGGGCGAGTGTGAATGGGAGTTATGAGGAGGTCTACAAAGACTCTAGTTGTGCTGTCGACGTGAGTGAACGCGATCGGGACCCTTACGGTATTATGATCCGACGGGCGTAATCTCTTTTTACATTGCAATGAAGTATACATATCTCCGCCGGTGTAATGTGCCCTAAGCACTAGTTGAGCACAAAGCAAAAATAATCATCGAGAAATAGGCTCGAGCAGATAAATATCTAGATGAAGGACCTATACACATCTCTACCACCGCAAGCCATGACGAAAGCAGCGTCATAGCGATCAGCTCAGCAACACCCGGATCTCGCCCGTAGTACGAGGGAAGAGCCTCCTAAGCCCCGATTCCTGCTCGTCATCATCAGATACCTTTCCGCTCTCAGTGACAACCTCATCCTCAACCCCAGCGTCACTCCCATCCTCCGTCCGTTTGATATCGACTCGACATCTAGCTTCATCCGCGCCGATAATCATGCCTTCCACAAATTCAAAGTCGCGGCAGAAAGCCTCGACCGCTTCTTCCGTAACACTCTGAACAAAACTGGCGCTCTGCAGGTGCTTCAAATTATCCGTAGCGTCCATCAGGGCCGAGGGAAGGAAGTCATCGAGTTGTTGGCTGACGGCGATGAGGGCTTCTGGTTGGAAGGCGGGAAGGTCGGCTATCTCGGCGATGTCCGTGGGTTTCCTATCAGTCTGCGGCAGTGCCTGGCCATCTTTTTGTTCGGATTCTAGTTTTTGAGTTGTTGAGGATGGCGAGAAAGGCTCGAGGGCAGCCAACAAGATGCCCAGGCCCGAAGCATCGAGTAGATAGCGGTGCTGGATTTCAAGCAATTCCATCCGCAGGCTAGACAGTGCTGTAGAGATAGGATTCAGATGGGTTGCACTTGCGAATGGGAAGGCAGAGATCGTTGAGCGCGCCGTTAGGAGAAGGTTGGTAGTGTAGATAGCTCGGGTTGTTGCGTCGGGGAGCTCGGCTGCTGAAGATTTGGCCAGTTCCAGGAAAGGGTCAAACGCGACACGGAGGACGGGGGTAAATTTATTATCCGCTGTGCTTTCGGCTTTCGCATCTTCTGCCCCGAGTGAAGCGTCATGGGTCTTCATGAGTGAGGTCAACTCTTCCAAGGCATCAAGGAAGAACTCGGGCGCGGAAAGGTCGTCCGGAGGAGTCAAGGCAGAATGATCGTTGGAGAGTATATTGACTTGCTCGTGCATGATACTTTCGAAGCGGGCGAATGTGAAGTTCTCTAGTGCCTGCATCATGTCCGCCAGATTGGATTTCGTTCCCAGCAGTCTGGAAAAGGTTGCTCGATAGAACGAAAGCAAGTGAACAACTCTGTAGCAAGTGACAGGCTCATCGTGGCCCTGAATCACCAATTCAACCCTCTGCCGTAAAGCTCGAGACACTCCGACTAGATCACGATTCACGAGGTCGCTGAGGGCTTTCTGACCATCAAAGGAAACCTCTTCTCCTTCATCAATACGAGACCAGGGTTCGCTGCTCAGGCCAGCCTGGATCCCTTTGGCGATTTCCTCCCCATCTGCTACGAACAAAGCTTCCAAAGCCTCTCGCTCGGATACAGTCGTAGAGTGGACCCATGCCAGCATGTCGCCGACGTACCGCAACGGGTCATGAGCGGAAAACTCAATCGGTTTCACGTTGCGGTCACCCCCAGAGCTGGAGACGGCGTCGGTTAGGGCATAATGAAAGGCGTCGGACAGGACATAATCCCGTGCGTCGGCGAAGATGTCCAAGCAGCTATGAAACAGGCTCGGTCGTTCGGCCAGGACGCGCAAAGCGCGCCTGATTGAACTGCTGATCCGCGGATCTTCGAGATTCAAGGACTTAAACTCCTTCTGTATCCATCTGAAGAGTCTCTGGTATGCGGAGTTCAGATTCCTGGAGCTCTTCTCCATCAATTCAAGGCCCAGCCTTTGGTTCTCCCCTCCCAGTAGGACTTCGCAATCATGGTGCACCTGTTTTACCCGATCAAGAACATCGAAAAAGCGGTCGTCAATTGGTTCCTCTGCCGATGTGAGAACAAGTAGGTCATCGTCCGAGACGACGAAGTGCTTCACGAACGCATCGAGAAGTTGTTGCTTTGTCTCCGATTCCTTCTTCTGGTTCATCAGTGTAGATGCTTCCTCGATGACTGGTGTCGTGTCCTGTTTGGCTCGGACGATGTGCTGCCGCATTTCTTCACACGTTTGATTCAGGCTTGATATCACGGTTCCGATCCTTTGCAATTGCTACGAATTTGGACTACGTTAGCCACCCATCTCAAATGCCGCACTCGTGCCGCCGAAGGTGCGAAACGGCTCACCTCCGCGACCTTGCCGAAATCCCGCACGATTTCTGCATTGCATTCCACCACTTCTTTTTGCACATCTAAGCGCAGCTGCCTTCGTGTCTCTGCAGTGTTGTGTACTCCCCGAAGACTAAGTGTCTCCAGCGCATCGCGTATATCTGAGTCTGCGTAGGAGGCCGACAGTACACTTGTCAGTCGGTTTGACAAGGCATTCGATCGCTGTGTAGGCGGCGATAACGGAGTGGAGGCTGGGGAAGGAGCACGTTTGGACGAGTGGTTAGCTATAGCTCCCGGAGCAAAGTAGCTTTCCATGGTGGGCTATCCGACTACCTAATGGTCAGACGGGCGAGCTGTCGGAGGATGATGTATCCAGGAGGTCACTACAGCGAAGGCGGGAAGTCGGAATCACAACAATCCCCGGTCCCCGATTTCAGTTCAACATCAACCATCGCATAGTCATCTGGAGCCGATCCTATGGAAACGCCGGTGGCATAATTGAGAAAGCTCAATTCCCGCAGGAATTGATCGCTGCAGTCCGGTTTACAATTTTGCTTCTCTGCTTCTCTTCATACCAGTCAGGAGTTTAGTTTTACCGCACTCGCGATGGACAGCCCGCTCCTTTCCCCCGCAAAGGCGCGTCAAGCAGCCATTCAGGCCAAAGACTGGGCATATGTGAATTCCTGGCTAAGTCGCCAATACTCACCGAATCCGGTACCGAATTTTGAACGGAATGAAGACACTTTGCGCACACTTTTAGCTCTTGCTGCTGCTAACGACGCAGCGGACGAAGAGGCCGCATTGCTCCACCGTGCGCGCGAGGAAGCGATTCGGGAATTCAAAGCGCGGGAGGAAGCTGGGGATAAACAGAAGAAAGAACTGCTGGACGAGCTGGAGCTTTGTCTCGGTGAAAATGGAAAACGAGACCTC